GATGGTGGGGGTGGGGGTGGGGGTGGGAAGGGAAGAGGAGGCAGGGATGGGGGGAGACGAAAGTGCCTTTCTGTCTCTTGTCTGTCTGTCTGTCTGTCTGTCTGTCTGTCTGTCTGTGTCTGTCTGTCTGTCTGTCTGTGTCTGTCTGTGTCTGTCTGTGTCTGTCTGTGTCTGTCTGTGTCTGTCTGTGTCTGTCTGTCTGTCTGTCTGTGTCTGTCTGTGTCTGGTGTATGTATGCATAGCTGGATATAAGCATGAAGACCGAGGAGGCCGTTTACCGAGGAGTACGAGGCCTGGTGCGAAGGATGTGCCCAAACCGGTCCGACAACCCCAAACTCGAGCAATCCTCGTAATGCACCCCCTAAGCCCCGGGCAACAACCATAACCAACTGGCCAACCAACAACCCAACTACCTGACGTGTCCGCACGAAGATGATCCCGTGGAAGTTCGGTTTATTCCGGTAGCGCTACCGGGGGGCCGGCGGTTGGAGTACGACGATGATGACAGATGCGGGACAGATGTTCCAAGGTGGTGGGGGCCGGGTGGGCGTGTTTAGGGTATGTACGACAGTGGGCAGCGTGAAGGGAGAGAGATCCGGTCGGCGTACGGCGACCCGGTCGCCGCCCTCCGTACAACTGGGTGACCGGTACGGCATTCTATAGCATATGCCTTCGCTAGCGGGAACATAATAATGATAACAATGATGATAATAATAATAATATAGTAATCATGAAATTTTTAATAAAAGTTAATAACAATCTTCGTGTTAGTAGTAATAATAATAATAATGATAATAATAATGATAATAATAATGATAATAATGATAATAATAATAATAATAATAATAATAATAATAATAATAATAATAATAATAATAATAATAATAATAATAATAATAATAATAATAATAATAATGATGTGCTGCCACACCTGCAGGTACTCCATGAGCGCCCAAAACTTGGGGAACGTATCCTCCTGAATTGGCGGAGTATTAGGGGTGCAAGGGGGGGGGTACATAGGGGCGGGGGAGAAAGACGAACCACACACGAGGGGGCGGGGGCGGGGGCGGGGGCGGGGGCGGGGGCGGGGGCGGGGGCGGGGGCGGGGGAGGGGGCGGGGGAGGGGGGGGGTCAGACGCGTTCACACGAGTGCACTTAATCATCAAGTGCCTATAGTTGTAAGCCCAGTAGGTCAGATGGGTCACAACAAAATCTCAAATTTCAAATTCACAATGGTAGTCGGGTTGACAAATGACAACCTAGCGTTTCCGTACATCTGTACGAATGTACGACCAGGTCTGCATAGCAGTTCCCCAGCTACCTCTGGGGGCCCCCCGGGCAGCTGGCCCTTTTTTTGGCCCTGCTAATACTGGGGAGGGGTCGAGGACGGCACAGGAAGGCACAGACAGGACAATGTGAATAATTGGAAAATATATGAAATGCTAAGTACCGATGCACCGACTCCACCGTCGCCGTATCCCTTCTTCCGTACATGCACATGCACACATACACACACACGCACCTCCCACACCGCCATAACCCTCAGTCCGCTCTCCCCCCAGCAACGCAAGCAACAAGTCCCCCCCTTTCGCTCACCTTCTACGGTATCAGTAGCAGTAGCAGTAGCAGTAGCAGTAGCAGCAGTAACAGCGATAGCAGCGGCAGCAACAGTAGCAACGTAGCAGCAGTAGCAGCATTAATGGGTGAGGTAGGACTCGTTGAGGGTGTTGAGAAAGGAGGGGGATGGGAATGATGCTACCCTCCCCGGTGTGTATTTGACCTCCCCCCTTCCCTCCCTCTTCCCCCCTTTCGCCCTTAAAAAAGGGGTCGCCCCCTCCCCCAAATACCCGCAACCGACCCCCTTACGGATATCGCCCAGGCAGCTTTCACCACTACAACACAAACACAAACACAGACACGTTATATACATACTGAGCCACACAGCTCAGACCGCGCAAATAAGCCCGCACCTTTGCCTCCTCCCTTCCCCCCCAAACCCACAACCCCCAGCCGGAGCACCTTGAGCTCTCCAGACACGAAGCAGCTGCCCAGAAAGTCCTCTTTCAGCAACACCTGGTGACATGGACCAGTCTGGGGGGTCGAGGGGTCACGGGGGGAAGAAGGGTAATTGTCCGTACGACAGCTCGCCGTACCGTCGTACGCCTGTAGATCTTACCAGCAGGTCCTTCAACAACTTGGAAACTCGGAGGTAGACATCACGGCAGCTGCGGGTGACGAGGGGTTTGGGGGGTTGGGGGGGGTGGGGGGGGTTGGGGGGAAAAGACGAACCACGAACGAGTGAAGCTAGCTGCCAAGGAAAGAGTGTACAAGAAGCAGAACTGACCAAAGGGGGGAGCATAAACAACAAACACGCAAACCGTGGTGGTTTGGGAGAAGGGGGAAGAAGTAGGGGAGAGCTATAACCCCCTTCCTGGAGGGGGGGGGAGGGGGAAGCTGGAGAATGAGGGAGATCCCTTTGTGAAGCACAGCAACAAAGGGGAAAACCGATTGCGGTACGGCAACAGTAGTACGGCCAATGCCGATACACATCGAGGACATCGCTGCGCATCTTCTTCAGCGGGATGCCGTACGAGCGCGGGGGGTGAAGTACGTTAGTGTGTCGATCGATACCCCGACTGACCCATCCACGACCTCCCAAAGAACCCAACCCAACAAAACACAAACTCGCCTCGATGCGATATGTCGTACGAGTGAGCCTACATCTACCTGTTTGCTGTCGCTGTGGAGCCAGTCGCCGCGGGGCCCCTCAACGCTGCCGTCCTGCGGTCGTACACCGTCGGCAGCGCCGCCGCCGCCGCTTCCAGGGAGGACAGCATCTGTGGCATGACGCTGCCGCCAGCGGCGGCTGTGGAAGCGCCTTTAAAGCTGGAGGTGGCAGCGGCCGCCGCCGCCGCCGCCGCCGCCTCAAACATTGCCGTACGCAACTCGCTGGCGGGGTGGGCAAGCGGCACTTGGCGGCCGCCGCCATCGTTTATTCCGATGCCACCGTGGGCTTCGACCTCACCCTGGCAAAGTACGACAGCTTTTCGGCCGAGGAATGGCAAGGCGCCTTCGAAGCCCGCGTCCTCCACTAGCTCGATGGCCTGAGGGTGCCGTACCGCATCAGTACGTGATATCATATACGGGTCGTACAGGGTACAGGACGACCAAAAGCGGGAAAAGACAAGAAGGCCGTACAAATGATTACGACGACGATGACGATAAAAACGACGATAATAACAATTTAAAGATTCCTCTCTGCTTTCCCCTACCTTTCTAAGGACGTCCAGAAATCGGCAAATGAGATCCAGATTTGGACATCTATATTTATCAGCGACTTCGCGACCCTTCGACAGCCACTGCAGGGGGAAGAGGAGGGACAGGGAAGGATCATTTATTTTATTAATTATTGTTTATTTATGTAGTTATTTATAAAGTAATATATATATATATATTTATTTATTTACGATACACATACACGTATTATGATTATTATATTGATGATGATGACAATGATGGCGATGATGATGACGCAGGAGTGCGCAGAAGCAAAGGGGTCATCAGTCCAGTTTCCTGGGGCCCTCCGGGGCAGCGAAAGGGGGCCAGGGAGAGATCCGGAAGCAGAGGCGGGTCGCGTGGTGGTTGTGTTGGGAGGGGGAGGGGGAGGGGTGAAAAGACTCTCGCACCTCCTAACCATTTCCACCTAAAATACGCACACGCACACGCGTACATACATACATACAGCAAAAGCAGGCGGCTGGCAGAGGTTAAGTTGTCTGGGTTCAAATCCGCCTGCCGACCCCTCGGGTGTTTGAGGGGTGTTGAATTGGGGGGTGGGCCCCCATCTTGTGGACGGTGTAGGACGTGATTATATCAACTTGCGAGCTGATCAGGAACTAAGTTGAGGCGCCGTTGATCCGCTAGATTTGGTTGGATGCTGGTGGTGAGTTGCCGAACTCAAAGAGTACATTCTGAAGTCGGATGGGGTGAATGGATTATGGTGCCCCTCTAGCAGGGGAGAGCAGGGAACTGCCTCCAAGGGAAAGAGGGCCGCTGATGAACCTATACCACCCTGTAACAACATACATACATACAGCACCCCCCTGCGTACCTGTCCAAGCGGGTCGAGCCGCGTCACCAAATACTTGGAGTTGGAGGCGCTGTTCTCCACGGCGGCGATAAGGGCCTCGAGGGGAATATTTTGCGGGGTGGGGCGGGGCGGGGTGGGGTGGGGTGGGGTGGGGTGGGGTGGGGCGGGGTGGGGTGGGGCGGGGTGGGGTGGGGCGGGGCGGGGTGGGAGTGGGGTAGTGTAAGATGAGGACGATACGATGTGTGTGTGTGGGAGGGGAATGGAGGGGGAGGGTCAGTGTGTTTAGGAAACGGGGGAAGGACCCCTCCCAAACCCCCGGGTGGGGTGATGGAACCGGTTAGCGGGCAGCAGCTCAGAATATACGACACGAAACCCACAGCAGCAGCGAGGGGGTGTACAGTCATCATGCAAGGCATACGCACATACATACATATGTACAGATATACACACGCACGCGCGGCCTGCCATTTGCAGCTCGTGCTTCTCCTTTGTGGCAACGCTCCCCACCGCTTGGACCGTACGTAGGGCCTCGTCTGCCCATGTACGACAAGTACGACAACGAGGAAGGGCGCAAGGTAGAATGGTATCAGGTAAATTACAAACACGACGGTGATGGTGATAGTGATGGTGATGGTGATGGTGATGGTGATGATGATGATGATGATTGTGATGATTGTGATGATGATGATGATGATTGTGGTGGTGGTGGTGGTGGCGGGTGGTCAAGGGGGTGATGGCGGTGGTAGGAAGGCCGGAGGGGAAAGACGAACCACGAACGAGTGAAGCTGCTGCCAGGGCAAGAGTGTACCAGGAGTAGAACTGACTAAGAGGCGTTCTTGAAGGCGGCGACCTCGGGATGACGTAGTGAAGAAACTACCTACCTAGCCGCCAGGACTAAAAAAGCGCGGAAAAAGCAGTAATGCCAAGCCGTAAAGTAGTAAAGGTAGGTGTAGAGGCTGCGGAAAAGTAGTAAAGAACTGCTGACGTGAAGCTGAAAATAAGTTTGCCGCTGGCCTGCCGGCGGCATTGACGGTTTGGTGGGAACTGGCTGATTAGCGGGGTTGGGGTTTTCCCTCCCCCCTTTCCCCCTGGGAATCACCCTCCCCCCCCCAAAACACACACACGCGCACGCACACGCACGTACACAACCCCATTGAGCAACCCTACTTACAAACCTCGAGCGCCGCCGTCAGAGCAAACTCCTGCGGCCGGAACAGCAGGCAGCCTTTTTAGCAGTTATAGCAGAACTACATACATACGTAAATATATACATACTGTTGCTGTTGTCCAGGTTCGTTAACGGGCCCGTTCGCTCAAAAAAAGTCACTAATTATGTGAATCTGATCTTTTTTGTAAAATTGCTCCCATAATTCCAATTTTCGGCCCCATTTCTCCGCTACCACCAACTGGTGTACCGTTACTGAAATACGCGCAATAAAACCAAACCACTGGTGTAGTACGTGCCGTACAATTTTATTGCTCCGCTCCGAAACCCTTACCTGTAGCATCGTGATGATGTCCCTGTCCACAGACCGCATGGCGACTCGCATCTCAATCTGCGACCAACCGAAAACAGCAACGAAATCATCATCACCATCATCATTAATATCATCATTGATATCATGATTATCGCCTTCATTTACATTAACAACAACAACGGGGACCGAAGAAGCAGACGGACCAGAAGTTGGTGACAGATGTAGGAGCCCCCCCTTCTCAACCCCCCCCCCTTCCCCCT